TATATATATAAAGTATATAGGATAAGATGGATATACAGCTACTTTCTTTTAATTAAATGAGAAGAAAGATTTGTACTAATAGTATTTGGACAGGTTATCATGTCTGCATCTTGTACTATGAATAACTACTACAAAGATAACAATATGCAATGTACTAATTATTGTAACTGTCCTGACCTGTTTTGAAACTGTCTCATTGCTATTTGTTTCTCAGTAAAATTTTTTAAAAAGTAAAAAAAAAAAAAGAATTGTCCAGTTGCTAATCAGGTATTACTATGTAACTAACAGAACTCTCAAACACATAGAGGTAGCAACTACCCAAAAGTTATCACCCCTGGGTACCTTTTCCTTTGAGAGAACAAAGAGAAGAGATGAGAATGATTCCACTCTGGCAATGTGGACTATAATTAATAGTACTGTATTGTTTACTTGAAAGTATCAATGAGAATGTGTCTTAAAAGAGTCCTTAATCCACATATGTATATGTGCAATACTAACTAGGTAGTGACAGATGTTTAATTGTGATGAGCATTTCACAATGTAGACATTTATCAAAATGATATAGAAGAAATATAACTCCCAACCTGCTAGATGTCAGATGTGTCAAGTTTGTGTCCTCTGAAATCAGAGACTGAATTCCAAGAAACAACAGAGGTTAAGTGTAGGAAAGGCTTATTGAGAGATAGCTCCTGAGAGACAGGAGACCCTTCATCATGGGTAATTTATTTATTTATTTATTTATTGGAACTGGGGATTAAACTCAGGCCCTTGCACTTGCCAGGGAAGCGCTTATTCTATTGAGCTATCTCCCTGGCCCCAGTAATTTATACAGCAAAGGCACAATGTGGGTACTGTGTGGGTCAAAGTGCCATCAATTTACAGGATTACCGGTATAGCCTTTTAGCTAATGGTAATCTGACAGGGAAATGAGTCATGCAGCAAGGGTACATGGGAAGAGCAAAGGCATTTTGGGGCAGAAATGGGTCCAGATACTCTTGTCATGCAGCTGGGGAAATTGATGCCTATCTGGACTTCCTGGTCCAGTTCATCCTAGTTACAGCACAATTCCAAGTTACTATTTATGCCTTAGGGAGGCATGTAGGCTTGGCCAATGCATCTTTATCTTGAGGCCTGGCCTTCTTCAGCTGAGCCTCCAGCCACAATTCTGATGTCTATTTTTTACTGACTTCTTTGAGAGTCCAGTCAGTCTCTTGAGTGTATATTAATTTCTATCTACCTTAGTTGCCTAAAATAAAAGTATTGCACTGTGTAGTTTAGTATATTACATTTTTTGCCAATTATATCTAAATAAAGCTGTGGGAGCAATCTCTCCACTCCAAAGAAAGAGCCTTGGAGTGTCCCACAAAACTGAACCTCAACCCTTTGATGAGTGTTGCCTGCTGGTGACTTAGGGGCTGCCACAGGGCTGGTTTTACAAGTGATGGGTAAGCTGCAAAGTGGATTCAACTATTGTTGCAGGAAATGAACACTGGTAAGTTACCCTACTGGGAATACGAAGCAGGCAGAAAGGAGGGTGTCTCTTACCCCTACTCTGGTCTCACAATTCCTCTGATGCTTTATTGACAAAGTCTTAGTTAGCATGGAGAAACTTGCAAAACTGAAATAGAGTCTGCAAAGTCTTACCTCAGTACTGTTCAATTGACTGGAGAAGGGTGGGATTAGATTTGATATAGGACAGCTTGGTAAGTGGCATTTATGCTTAGATACAGGAGTACAGGCATAGGCAGAGGTGGCTGATTTTCAAGATCTAGGTCAGCTTCCTGACTTCAGAGTAGAAGAGGAAGACTTGAGTCTGTTTTAAGTAAGTGACCTGGAACAATTTACTTGCTGTTCTGAACTCAAGGTTTCCTCATGTATAGTATAACATGGAGATGATAATACTTGTGGATTCTCAATGTCTTGTAGTTGATCCTTAACATATGGTAGCTACTTGTTAATTAGAAATAATAAACAACTATTTATTACTGAGGTTGTTAAAACTAAACAGAAGGGACTTCCGTCATCATTTTTGCCACTACATTATTGTACAGATAATAAAACTGAGGCTCAATAAAAGCCAACAACTCTTGGGAGTTTAGTCTTGGTCTCTGGAGTCAGTGTCATCTAAGTTCCAATCCTTGCAGTCCATTTCCACTTGCTGACTAAGTTCACCTAAGTCACAGTGTTGTGAGGACTGCACGAACTCACATTGCCTGGCTCTCAGTAAGTGCACAGTGCATCTCACAGGAACACCACCATTGTTCTCGGGAAATACAAGAATCTCTGAGGGGAGAGGATTGCTTTATCATGACAATGACTGTTCCATGGAACAGGCAGTTCAAGTGAGGCTGAACTCTCCATAATGCTATCCCGAGAATACTTGAGACTTTGGCCATGGCATTACCACTTATTTGCTTTGTAATGATGAACAAATTGTTCTGTAAAGATCATGGTACTTGACCTGAAGTCTGTTTCCCCAAGTTCTCTGCAAACTGCATAATGAAACAAGAGTCTGTGGATCACATAATTCTAGAGGGACTGGGTCGTGGCAGATACTCAGTGTACTACACAGTATCAAAGTAAAGGATGCTATTATTGGAGATAGGACCTCTGATTTCAGAATATTCTTGTTGTATTCAACACTTAATTTTGATGTGCTAACTGGGAAAAATGACAGCATGAATAGAAGAGCCAGCTGTTGTTGATTGCTCTTCACTCTAAAACTCAAGAAGGCATAAGAGACTATATTTTAAACCTCATTATCTTACCTGATCTTTCTTTAATACTATAAAACTATAGGATGATTTAAAGGCTGCCCAATTGCACATAGCAGACAGGGCACCTGAGTAGCCCACAAACAAAATAGTACTTCAAACTGCTGTTTGTTTAACATATGTGTCAGAGCAAGCATTAGGCTATGCTCCTCTTCTGTAGTGTCTCATTTTGTCTTTAAGTAACTCTGTGGGGGAGTAAAGTATGTTATTTATCCATCTGTCTTTTGTTTATTGGCTCTCAGGTACAGAAATTAGAGTGAATCAAACTTCTCAATCCATTGTACATTGCCATCATTGGTTTATATAAATCCCTTATTTTAATTATTTTGTTTATTTCCTTTTATCCATTTACCATGTTCATTTGCCTTCCTTATAAATAGCCAATCTATTGCACGTAGTATCTTTCCATTCTTTTGAAATGTATATTGTGATTTTGTCTATATATTTTTAATTGATATGAAATAGTATTATGTTGTATTTTCCCCCCTTTGGTGGTACCAGGGATTGAACTCAGGACCTTGAACTTGCCAGACAAGCACTTATTCCACTGAGTCATCTCCTCGGCCCTGTATTTCTTTCTGTGTCTGACTTTTAATAACTTTTTTAGTGGAAGTACTGTTTTCAAGACCTACACATATTGCTAAGGGTTTGTTTAATCAATTGCTTCAGTTGTGGCATGCTACCCACAGCGTGCATCCATCACAGATACACATTCCATTTCCTAGGGATGGACAGCCAGGCTGTGGTGGTATCAGACTCCCTGTTGACACATATAGACATTTGTACCTCCATTACATCTGTTTTTTAAAAAATCTTTTTTTTTAATGGTGCAGGTGATTGAACAGGGCCTTTTGCATGCTAGATAAGTACTCTGCCACTGGGCTATATCCCCAGCCCTTCATATGTCTCCTTTCTTGGATATTGCTTTGAAGAATACACTATAGTGAAACATGGGCTTTTAAAAAAATATTTATTTATTTATTTATTGCAGTACTGGGTATTGAACTCAGGACCTTGTGCTTGCCAGGCAGACACTTATGCCACTGAGTTATCTCCCTGGCCCTGCTTGGACTGCATTTAAGCGGTGCCAGAAGTGGGTGCTGTTTTTTATCCTTATTTTACAGATGAGTAAACTGAGGTGCTGAAGTTTTAAGAACCTCCCGAAGTCACACAGGTAGTAATTAGCAGGAGTGTCGTTCAAATTTAGGTATTCTTATTCTGAAACTTCTACCTTTAATAGCTATGCTATTATTCTCTCAGTAAGACTTGAGGACATTTTTATAAAAAATTGTAAAGGCAACCTCATTGTAGTTTTTATATTCTCAAGACCTAGGAATCCAAGTGGACTGATTGTTCTTTATTGAAGCACCTATTGCCCCCCAAGAGCTGCATAATAACTGTGTTTTTCTGACTTTCTTATCCTGTGTGTCTGCAGTGTTAAAAGCTGCATTAGTCATCCAGAACTGGTACCGAGGTTACAGAGCTCGGCTGAGGGCCAGACTGCAGTATGCTGTTGCCATCTTCGAGTCCATTGAATATGCTGATGAACAAAGCCAAATGCAGGTCTGTTTTGCAAGTTTCTCTCTCTCTCTCTCTCTCTCTCTCTCTCTCTCTCTCTCTCTCTCTCTTTCTCGTAAATGTTTCACTTTACTTCTTATTATTGAAAGAATGAAAATTTAGGTCAAATCTTGGTGAAAGGTTTTTCTGTTTTTCCTTTTGGTATTTAGTTGGTATTGAGCCCAGGGCCTTTGCACTGAACTGCATCTCTAGTCCTTTTCATTTTTTAAATTTTGAAAAAGGGTTTCATACAGGCTGGGTTCAAACTTGTTAGCCTCCTAGAGTGCTGGGATCATAGGCATGTGCCACCATGTCCAGCAGGAAAGGCTTTAATAGAGGGTATAGTGACACTGCCTTGAAACAAGCTGTTGAGAGAGTGTGATTTGAAAAGATGGTATTTCTCACTTTTGAAGTTCACATTTTTCAGAGGGCTACCAGATGTCTAGTTAACTAATAAAAATAGTCTTATTCTATTTTTGTGTATCTGCCCTAGTGGAAAATAGTTACTTTATAAAGGGAAAAATACTTTAGGGAGTTTTAAAAACTGGAAGAATTTCCTCAGAACAAACCTATGAAAGTTCTGGAAGAAACATACATGAGTGAGAAAGGCCTTTTGAAATCTTGCCACAAACATTCTTAAGTCCTAGAGGGGCTAGGGAGATAGCTCAGTGGAGTAAGTGCTTGCCTGGCAAGCACAAGGTTCTGAGTTTGATCTCTGATACCACACACGCAAAAAAGATTCTTAAGTCCTGCTTGTTTTTTCATACCAGGGATGAAACTCAGGACCTTGCACTTGGTCAGGCAGGCACTTACGCCACTGAGCTTTCTCCCAGACCCCAACTTCAATTAAAATGGATATATTTAACAATAAAAAATCCTAGAAATACCTCCAATAGAGTTGTGGATTAAAAAAAATCACCTTGTAGGATAACATAGAGAGTTTATCTCATATATATGAAATAAAATTAAACATATAGCAAAATTGTGGGATAGGTACCCAGAAAACTGTTTACAGTATGTAGTACTGGTGGGGAGGTGGGAATACTAAGAGGGATTTCTAATTTTAATTCAGTATTGTTTGTGTTTTTTAACAATCATGTTTATATAACATGTAATCCTTAAATCAATTAAGAAAACTTCAAAAAGTCACATTTCTGGATTTCTTCTTGGCAGCTATATTTAAAATGATATCCTGGGATTCAATCAAATGTTCCCATTTCCCTAATTAAGAGCGCCAGCATTGTCTGCCTTTTTAAGCACTAATGTTACCACGAAAGTGAAAAGAAGTGATCATAATGAACAAATTTTTGTAGCTGTCTTAGTCTGAGACAAGGATTCTGATATAAGTGACTTGTTGAGGGAGGGTTCTCAGATAAAATCTGCAAAGGAGTGACGAAAGCACGAGAAGAGGGAGAGGTCAGGCCAAAGTGTGCTTCTGGAGAGTTCTGACATTAGTCTGATCCCATCTGGGGCTCTCAAGTGTGAAATGCATGCCAGTTCGACCCACATAGGGACAGAGAGGTGGGGGACTGGATGCTTCATTCAGTTGTCTGAGCCGCCTCCCAGGAGGGGCAATGCAGTGCTAACCAACTACAGGGGTACCCACAGCAGCTGGGAGGTGAGTGCCCCAGGAGAGTAAGGAGCTTGTACAAAGCACGGGCAGCATGTGCCACAGTAACTGTACTTAGGGCTCCTTAATTGATTAATGTATTTTTATTTTGTCTAGCTATCTGACTTCTTCTCCTTCATGTTGGAAAACTACACACAAATACATAAGGATGATCCAGGTAAGCAAACAGTCTGTTGCAAAGTAATTGCTAAATGCTGAATGCCCTGATCAAGAAGTGTAAATCCCGAAGATGAGAGAATACTAGGAAATTATAAAGATGCCCATCTTTTATCGTCTCTGTGATACCCAGGAACTGGTGAAATCAGTTCAACTGGCTTTTCCCTGCCTGCCTGGTGCTTCCTAAATTGACATATAATGTTTTCACTTTTTAAACAACTGAATTAGATTTCACTCAGCATTCATTTGTTGAGTATCTTCTCCTGAACCACAGTCTATTGATGCACAACAGTAACTCAGTAAAGATCTTAATTTTCAATCGCATAACTGTCAGCGCTAAGAAATTAAAATAGCTTAAGTATATACATCACCCAGTGGATCTGGGTGAAAATAGCAGATTCAGTACATTTGGGCCCAACATGTTTCTATTTTCCTCTCTCCCCATCCCCCTTTCTCTGCCTCCTATCTGTATGTATATCAGCTATGGTTTGAATATGCTCCCCCTCAAGTTTGTGTTATAGAAACTTAATCTCCAGTGCAGCAGTGCGGAGTGGTGGGACTTCTGGGAGGTAATTAGTCATAAGGGGCCTTGCCTTCTTGTATGGGTTAGTGCCATTATCATGAGAATGAGTTCAGTACCTTAAGAATGGTGTTGGGGCCGTGGAGATAGCTCAGTAGAATAAATGCTTGCCTGGCATACGCAAGGGCCTGAGTTCAGTCCTCAGTTCCGAAAAAAAAAAAAAAGAATGAGGTCCTTATAAAATCTACATTCAGTCTCTGCCCTCTTTCTTGCATGTGTATTCTCACCATGTGCTGTCTGCAGCCATGTTATAATTTGTCACATAGCAAGCAGACCCTCACCAGACACAGCCCTTGATCTTGAACTTTACAGCCTCCAGAACGCTTGGCCAAAGAAATTTGTGTTCATTCTAAATTATCCAGTCTGTGATATTTTATTACAGCAGCATAAAAGGGCTGTCTGTCAGTTTCTATCATCTATCTTCTATTGACTCATTCTGAATCAGTCAGGCAATATAGATATGGTTCAAAAATTATTTTAAATTTATAATTATTCACAAGGCATATATTTCTCCTGAAAATTCTCCAAGGTCAGTTCAAGAAGTAAAAACTCATGTTTTTCTTTAAGTTGAGCTATTTTTCATTCTAATTAAAATGCATATGATATCTAGGAGCATCTTTTAAATAATCTGGGAAAAAAAACACTTCCAAATGGTGCTTAGTGCCATGACTTGAGAAGTTCACATGTATGAAAAATTAAAGCATTTAATGATCTGCACAAATTTTCTGAATGGTGAAAACCTGAGAAGTGTGATGGGTGAAATTGGATACTTTGCCATTTTCTTCCTGTTAGATAATTGCAGTCCGAAGACAGTTGATTGTACTTGTGTTTTTGGCAAAAATGTTTTTGAGAGGAAATATGATGAAATAGGGCTCTTTCTGCTAATGATCTAATATAATTTCACCTTGCCTCACTTCATCAGTTACTTGTAGAGTTTCAGAGCCATGGGCAGCAGGATTCCAGCCCTCAGATAACTACTCAGACCTTGTATTTTTAAAAATCTGAATTAAAATTATTTTGTGTGCCAGGGAGATAGCTCAGTAGAATAAGCACTTGCCTGGCAAGTGCAAGACCCAGAGTTCAATTCCTGGTACCACAAATAAATAAATATATAAAATAAAAAATTATTTTGCGAGTGATTCTTAAAATCTAACAAAACATTTTTTTCAGAGAAGAGAATAGTGAGTTTTTGAAGTATAACATTATGCAGAGAAGTACAAAAATTATATGACTCAATACACTTTCTCAAAGAAAACATGCCCGTAAAACAGGCACCCAGAATAAGAAAAGAACCATGATCACAGTCACAGAGAACCCTTCCTGTCCTCTTCCAGTCTTACCCGGCCCCTACTCTACCCTATGACTATTTTTCTGAACTTCTGAACCCTAGATTAGTGTTGTTTATTTTTGAGATTCTTTACATAAATGAAAATACATAGTTATATATATATTTTTTCATTTTTTGAGACAGAGTCTCCCTATGTAGTTTAGGCTGGACTAGAGCTCAGGCTGGCCTCAAATTCATAGCAGTCCTACTGCCTCAGCCTCCAGAAGCTAGGATGACAGGTGTGCAACACCACACCTAGTTGTTTATATTCCCGAGACTGGCTTTTTTGACTTATTTCCATTGCTCTTTCTTTTCTTTTCCTTTCTTTTCTTTTCTTTTCTTTTCTTTTCTTTTCTGTATTTTAGGACAGAGTCTACAGGGTCTTAATACATAGATCAGACTCATAGTGATCTGCCTGTGTTCAGCCTTCCAAGAGCAGGGATTACAGGTACACACCACCATACCCAGGCTCAATAGTTGTCTCAGTGTGCCCCAGGGGCAGAGCTAGCACAGCAGCTGGGGATCAAACCCCAGCAGGTCTCTGCATCTGCCTAAGTAGGCGCTTTAATCTGCTGAGCTATTTGGCCAGCTCTCATGCCCTCTTATTGGTAGGGTTCCAGATAACCCCTACCTAGGTCTGTTTAACAGAAACGATGAGGTCCCTAAACAGTATCTTTAGATTCTAGAATGTTATTTAATGCTCCCAGATTTGAGGTCAGATGAATGGACTGAATTCAGAGGCCAAGAATACCTTGAGACATTTGGTATATTCCAAAAGTAAGAGGTATCCTGAAAGCAGTACTTGTCCTTGCAATCTCATCACCTCTTTTGTGAAATCAGTTATGTTGTTTTAAGACCAGTTGAAAAAGTGTGATGGAGAGTAGCGATTTCCCATGAACTTTCCCAGTCTGCTTTTTACATTAGCCTCTTCCCAGGCTGGAAGCCCAAACTGCCATATCTAGGAGTAAGTTAAACAGAGACTTATGGTGGGAGTGCGATGGGGAATGTGCAAGTGTTGCTTTCACTTCTCTTTGCTTCCTATATGAGCCAAAATATCCTAAGCTATCATTTATTTATTTTTATCTTTTTCAGTGCTGGGGTATTTTTAGGTTCTATTACTATGGTAGTAGGATAGTTTTCTTGTGATATCTTCCTATTGATTATTGGTAGTATTTTGCAAAACTTAATTTATGTCTATTTGTCTTATTTTATACTTCTATTGAATAGAATTGAGTAGTAATGAAAATTAGTGCTGATTTTTATTAAATGTTTACCTTGTACCATGTATATAAGTACTTTAAATATATCATTTCATTTAGTTTTCATGAAAAATACAAAAGGTTGTTATTATTATTATTATTATTATTATTTCATATTCGTATTTGTAGAGTCTGAGGCTTAAAGGGTCATCTCCCAGGGTAATTCATCTCAGATTTGGAGCCAGTGTGATGAACTCTGTATTATATTTAATTCTTCTGTTGGTTCTTGGAGTTTTTCAGTTGATTTTCTTCAGTATAGTAATAATATTTGCCACAAGTACCTTTATTTTTATATCTAGTTATTACCACTTTTATTTCAGCTTCATGTCTTATTGTCTTGGTTGGTGATAACAGGAGAATTTTAAAATGAAACAGTGAACTGGACATTCTTGTTTTGTTGATGATTTAATGGAAAAAATACTGTTTATTTAAATTTTAAAAATTATACTAAGGAAGAATCTTTCTATTTCTAGTTTTTGAGTTTTAAAGAATCAATAATAAATATGAATTTTATGAAGTGTTATTTTTCATTTATTGAATCTATTATCTGGACACCAAGGTTTTAATCCATGTTCATAACTGGGAAGTGAAAGAGCTCTAAATGTGGTTGATTTGGTGCTTTTATTTTCTCCAGCAATACCTAGAGCTAGTTTTCAAAGTGATATGTAGGTAGTGGAGGCATAAATTGTTTTTGTTAATTATGTGCTTTAAATTTTTCCCTGTCTGGATTTTGACTATGTACTGGGTAAAAGAAAAGATTGCATGTGGGTGGTATTTTTGAGGTATTTTCTTTAGAACAACTTGTAAAGGTATTATTATAATTCAAGATTTTATTAGTTTAGGTTCATGTTGATACAACTCTAAATCAAATAGCTAAGGATTAATTCTAATCACATAGCACAGAAATCTTTATATATTGTTGAGATTCGTTGACATATGTTATTAGTAGGGCAGTATGTGCATAGAAATGTTAAAGCTTTTTCATTGTTTTCATATGTGACAAACTGTAGCTATTGGAAGGGAATCTATGTTTTTCTTTTTTATGTTGCTAAAAACCAGCAAAAAGATAATGATTTGATATTGATTGGTGTTCAGTTGAGTCACTTTAAGCCTTAGCGTAGGGAAATGGTAGTTTTGCATATATTGATCACTGAATTTTATAAGGAAGGAAGGCCTAAACTGAGCTTGTTTTTTAAAAAAAGAATAATAAATTTTTATTTAGCTCTTAAACAATACTGAGGGGCCGGGGAGATGGCTCAGTGGAAGAAGTGCTTCCCCGGCAAGTGCAAGGGCCTGAGTTCAATCCCCAGTTCTGCAAAAACAAAACAAAACAAAACAAAAATAAATACTGAGTTTTAATCACTACAAGTGATGGAATTAACTTGCTGTATCAGTTAGCCAGTGGGAAGAGGGAAGATGAGACAACAGCATGGGTGAAAGAAATGATTAGAAAAGTGTATTTCTTATTTATATCTCACAGAGTTGGAATGACTCAACAAATCAGTTATAAGTATATAAATTGTATTATATATGGTATAAGTATATTTAAAAATATGTAGTAAAAATAAAATGGTTAAGTGGTTCAGCCAGATAGCTCAGCACACTAAAGTGCCTGCTTAGGCAGGGTCAGTGACCAGGGTTTGATCCCTGGCCTGTCGTGCCGGCCCCACCTCTGGACACTCTGAGACAGTGACTGAGACTGGGCATGGTGGCACGCACCTATAATACCAGTGCTTGGGAGGCTGAAAACAGAAGGATCACTACAAGTCTGATCTGTGTAGTGAGACACTGTAGACCCTGTACTAAATACATTAAAAAATTTTAAAAAGTAAAAT